TTAGGCCAGAAGCCTACATAGATAAGAAAATGTTGTTGCCAGTTGACAATTATACCAAATAAAAACTTATTTGATAATAGAAAGATCAAAGGTTACCGTAACACCAGATTATTATTAAATTACAAAGCGTCTTTTTAAACGTGAAATCATTAAGGAATGTACGACTGTATCTCTTTATAACGAAATAATTTGAACATACAGAGATAATAGATATACACAGATATAAAATGGAATAGAAAAGCCATCCAACGAGTCAGATGAGACTTATTAAAATTTGTTTTGGTAACACACAAACAAAATAACAGACTAACAATTTTAGACTACATTTCTTACTTAGAAAGTGGGCTATACTTTTTCCGAAGGTTTTGGATGCATTGAATTTTGAGATATCCTAACACATTTTTTTACTATTTCATTTTTAATCGAAATTTGACGACAACACCTCAGACTTTCGTTGCTTAAAGAGTATAGTTAAGTTAAGAATATAGTTAATAGAAAAGGATTAGTATTATAAGATAATCTAAGACTAGCTGAGTAGCGCAACTTACAACAGTTATAATCAGAATACACTTAAAGCTTGTCATTTACATTTCCAAATATTAATGTTTCATTGCTGTTAGAAAAGATAGTCGAATACCTACTAACAGTCGTGTTGTTTACATATACAAATTTTATTAAGATACAAGTCGCTTTTTTATTTATATTTTAATAAAGTATGGATGTCTCAGAAGAAGTAGTCAAAACGTATTGCCAAATGAAAATGTCATGGTGAACCAAACAATTGAATCCAATGTTGCAGGGGATGACCTTACAGCCGTGTTTTGCTGGACCATCTAAAATCATCATATCTAAATAATCAAAAATAAAAACCAACTTACAAAGTTATAAAGAGTGTCCTCCAGATATGAAATCACGATCTTGAGGTAGTATTATACATACGTACGCTATTTGTATTTTAAGCTTTTAGTTATAAATCTAAAGCTGAAATTTAACTTAAACAAAAATTAAAAATCTATTAAATCCATTACATAACTTTTCATACTCTTAATAACTATATAAAAACTAAATCCTTGTTTAATAATTATCTATAAACCACTATGCTCTTTATATGATTATGATAATTAAATTTATGACAAGTGTGCCGGATTCCTATGTTAGATATTGATGAAAAATAATCCCTTAAAGATTAATAAATATTTAACATCGAGTTCAATTAATATTTTAAACGGTAATTGGATGAAACGATGACATCAATGTTCTATATATAGTACATATCGAGATAGCCTCTGTGTCGGAGTAGGTACCATTTCGTTATCAAGAGCGCTTACTTCACAAGTTGTCAATGTGGTCTCGTTGTGTCTTTGGTCGCAAATCGATAGTAAGTCTGAATTGTGATTGTAAAATAAACATAGTTATGATTATCAATACGAATGAGTTAAATTATATCACATCGACCTTATAGTTCTTTTAATTCTTGATTTAAATACAAATTTGCTGATAATATGTAGCTATTTATTGAACATTGACTCTTAAGGTTTTGTACGTCGTATTTGTGGGGATTGCCTCACCTACTACAACCACCATGTAGTTAACTTGGCATAATACAAGACATGATACCTCAGTCACCAGAAAAGAACCACGCACCACGGACTGGTACCAGGGGTATAACATGATAATAATAAGTATTCCATCTGCAGTCAGTTCATATATTAGGTGTACGCAGGTTATCATTTTCCATCGGTTAGGGCCTCAGTTTGTTTACCAATCCCATTTCATAATAATTAACGATATAAATTTTATGATATGTGTATTAGTTACAAGAAAAACATATTTCAATATCTATTAACTAGTATCCATAGTACTTTGCTTATATTTGGTACTGGATACTCTTTGAGTTGTCAAGCATTATTTATTATTAATAATTTATACCTGCAATCGGTTTTGGTTACAACAAGTCAGTGTAATTTTGTTACTGCATTTTGATATAATACGTAACTACGTCTTTTTAACAATAATCATTATATAATTATAGAGAAGTTAAATGTTATTATTATTATTAAATTATTACTATTAAACTTATTTATTAACTGCATATCTACAATAAATGATTGGTCTTCGTTTGATGACGTACAAAGAGGTAATCATGAGATATCGGGGCAATAGCGAAATGATAAATTGATTTAGTTTTGATCCGACTGAGAGACTCTGAGACTTTGTAAAAAGAATTTGTTAGAGAAATTACAGGATAAGTGGTGTGAATTAGGATGGGATACCATAAGTGGTATCATGGCTGTCATAGATTCACATGGTGTCGGTGATACTGTTCCTGTGTAAGTGACGACCACTTACATGCTATCAGGTGAGCCAGCAGCTAAGTTGCCGTTGCAAATACGTAAAAAAATCAATATATGTACTATTTAATATGAAATAGTATCTTTCAGTCAATTATTTACAATATCGCCATATTATAGTTATTTACCAAAAACAACTAACGAATGTAGGTAAGTTAAAAGTAAGTTTTTTATAAATCTTTACAACTTAACTTACCTAACCTTACTCAATTAAAAATAGATACTTTTACCGGAGTAAAGACAATAAATACTACAAATATAAATAATAAACAATCAATAAATACTATGTTTATGTTTTTTATAGACCGCTTCGGTGTTCTAGAGGTTTAGCACATCGCCTTACATCCGATGGTCGCGGGTACTATTCCTCGAACGATGCAAACATTTGAATGCATGAATTTGATTGATTCCATTTGTATATCTGTATGTATTTACAAAAAAGTAATTTAATATTTCTATCAGTACCCACAACACAGACTCTGCTTAGCGTGGGAGTAGATGGCGGTGTGTGAATTGTCCGAGGTATTATTATTACCTATATTAATAGTATAAATGCGATACTACGAGTATGTACGTATCATCATCTAAACAGCTGAACAGTAATAGAAGATTATTAAAAAAAACTAAAGAAGTAGAAACTAGGATAGGGACTTACACATACGGCCAGTGTAAGTGGCAGTTTGACTAGATTGATAAGTCTAATCAAAAATAATTTATTCATGTAGGACATTTTAGCCACTTATGAACATCAAATTTTTTGTAGTAATATCTTTTTCTCTAACATATACTAACTGCAACCTAAGAAATTGCAATATACAATGTACATAATATAGGTAGAGTACAGTACCCTACGCCTTATAATGCATTGACATTTCAGTGGAAACTACAGGTTGTTTCTAAAGTTAGGCGACAATTGCTTGTTCTCGAATTTCAACATTTCATTTTACGATAGTGTGATAGATTTACAATATGCCTACATAGTGAGATCATAGCCACTATATTACAAATAGATAGCAAAATATATTTTATTTGCAATATACTATAAAGAAAATACATAAATAATATATTAAATTGTATATGCATAATTTACAATTGCTTAATTGCTGAAAGCATTAATAACACATTATTCTGTGTTTAAAGAAATGCCATATTTTATTAGATTAAATATAGTGTTTAATATTTATTATGAACGTGGTCCACATATACGACATAGTTTAGAGTGTTCTACTTATATGTGAAAACTTTTGAAGATATTCAATTCGTTGTTAAATGACTGAATGAATTTGAATAAATTTTGGTATGAGTCTATTTTTCACCAAACGATATAGAGTGATTTTGTCTATTGTTGCCCTTTTCGTTGTCATTTCTAAGACAGTTGGCCATTCTAATTCTGTTAACTATTAATTAATTTATTTATATTTTTTATTGGGTTGTTTGTCCTATTGTCAGGTTCATGTAGCACCTGCACTGCGACCTACATAGGTCTATTGTGGTTGCCCTTTTCCAGAGTTCGCTAGACCTTGGGAAAGAGTGTAAACTTTCCAAAGGAGATATTTAGTTTAAGCATAAGTGGGCTACAATCACAAAGGATGTGTTGTGGCGTTCCTTAAATCTGCAGATTTTGAAACAAACTGAAGAGGAAACGCCACGCCAGAGATTTTTATTTATATAACTTTAATGCATTAGTTATATAAATAATAACTGGCGGATAAACACCATGTGACAATAATAATGCCATGTTGTTTTAATATTCATATAAAATTGTAGAAATTATGGAGTAATCCATACTGACATTAAAACTAGAAAGGCATTTGGATTGCGCATACTTATGCGTATTGCGTGTGTTAAGAGTTGGAGCCGAAACTAAGCTGTATTATGGCTCATATACCAGCTTTCGATGTGTAAACTTAGTATAACTTCCGTCATAGTTGACCTATTACAGACATATTGTTTTTAACTCATTAAAAATTGACCTCTATACGAGTCGGATAGTAGATAAGAGCCTCATTGTAGAGCTTGACAAGTCATTTCCCATTCTTTGAAAAAGCTTTACTTGAATTCTTATTATATTATTTTTAAGAGAAAATTAACTATATTAATATGCAGATACAATTATCTTGACAAAGCAATTGAGTGGTTATATAATACCTAAGTAAATTTTCTGCCCACATAATTAGATTATTCTTCTAATATGTGTACGTCATCGTAGTTATTAAACAATTATAAAATAATGGAAAAATGGAAAATAATGACTCTTTAGTTTGGCGTATATAAGTAGTCATTTACAAGGATATTTAATAACACTATTATACATATTTTATAATTCTTATACAGTTGCCATGCAGTAAGTCCTCGTAAAGATTAACGGTTAATCTTTGGTTCACTTTATCGGTTTATTTTAAAATATAACATCGAATTATTTAGATAGAATACTACTAAACTAATATAAATTGTTATTCAGGCTTCAGTAGCATCCTTACATACGAAAAAGCTTATCATTACGGTCGGCGGAGAATCCACGCACGGACGTTTTGGCTACGCGTTGATGTCTTTTTTATTGTGACACTTTGTATTTTCTAGGACCCTCCTAGAAAATACAACTTCAATATTGAGATTTTACGATATATAAGTGAAATTAGACTTACCGCTGAACTAAGATGTGGGCTCCAAAGGAAAATCAGGAACGCGGCGGGCACGACATGGAGCGCGGTGCGGCGCACACGCGCCGGGCCCATCATGGCTGCGCAATACTACTGGATGTGCGCCCTCGTCGCGGGCCCAACTTTGCAGGCGTTGCGCCCGCGCATTCGCGGAGCGGGGTGCGCTGTCCGCCACCCGATCACTCCTCTTTCCTTTAGTATCCCGGCATAAACGGCGCGCGCGCACGGGATTCAGGCGCAGCGCGCTCCGGGCCATGGCGGTCCCCGTAATATGGTAAGACAATATGTAGAGTTTTTGTGTATATAATTTTATAAATTTCTTCGATTATTTTTATGTTTGTATATTACGTATGTATCATGTTCGAAGTATAGTAATAATTACTTATACTACATATTTTATTTCATAATTAATAAACTTTTAATAAAATCTTGATTTGGTAGGTTAGTGGTTGCAGTAGCGCCGCTTCTGGGAGTAAATTCAGTGAGTATATAATAATCATAATAATGTATTTGTTAAAATAACTTAATTGAAATTAAAAATATTTTGCAAAGTGATTAAAATCCGCGTTACAAAATAAACCAACGGGATCGTGCAGTGGTCCAGCGGGCGACTTTGTCGAGCGGGCACGGGCACGGCGGGCGCGGCGTTGTGGCGACCGACGCGACCACTCTCTTGTCTACCTAAATTCGTCTTTTTTTTTGCAATATCTTCAACTATAGATTTAATCTAAAATCGATTATTGAGATATTACATTTAATATAAATGTTATGTTTGTTTAAATATTAATTTATGTGATAATAATTATAGTGAGAGACATGTTCGCAAGGATGTAATTATTGACGGCAAGTCAAAGTAATTATCAACTTTCATTTGCTTAGTTTAATGTAATATAAGACCAAGATTCTTATATAGACAATGATATTATAACATAATAGTAGACCGACAAAGTTTATCGCCGCTCGGATGTGGAGCGTCGGCATTGCGCAAACATTTATAATATACTGTACAATACCAGCAACTTATTTAGGTGAAGAGTAAAATTAATTAATATCTACCTATGTAATATAATTTAAAACCAAACTGCGTACATTAATAATATAAATATTTCTATTAACATGTAGTCAATTAAAATTATTGAAGTGCTTTTCAAGTTAATAGAAATAGAAATAGAAATAATCTTTATTCAAATAAAATCATTACAAGCACTTTTGAATAGTCATATTTTGATTCTACCACTCATTCGGAATGCAGATTCATCACAAGAAGAATGGGCAAGAAACTTGTGTGTTGCTCTTTTTAATAGATGTTTTTTTATATAAATAATTACAGTATAACAAGTAAGAGGCATGCGATAATCAACATAGAAATCGCTGCTAATATACAGCTAAATAGTTATTTTTAAAATATTTGATTTGATCATACTCGTAATTTAATTTTCGTGTAAATATTTTTTTCAAGTTAAATTTATTAAAATACGAGAATAACTTTTAAATCTGTTGAATATCCCACAATCAAACGATCGTTTAAGAGAGTTATTAAATTTATTTTTTGAAAGATAATAAAAGAGCTGTCCTTTTATACAAATACTATTGCTGGGTTTCGCTAATGTTATATAGAGTTACCAACACAATGTATTTTATACATACATTCAAAATTATGTGCCGCTAAAATACAGAAACTACTAACTAAATTATGATATTACTACATACGTGAGTATAGTACGATTTGATCTTAATTTTTTAAACAAATATTTTCACTTTTCCGTCCATCCATATCCGAACCCGTATCGCCTAGACAGTTACAAACAACAAAAAATTAAACCTGCTTTTCTATTATACTATAAGTATAATAATGTATTTATTATTGAATATTATATTTAAAGCTACTATATATTTAAGATTTTATTTATGCATAATATATCTATTTTGTGTATTTGAAATATTTTAAACATATAACGGATATGTGTAGTTTTTGTTCCATATCGCACAGGTCAGATTAGTTGGTCCGATTAAAAGTATGACCTCAATATTATATGCCCACGTTGCTATTAATAACTTACAAGTATAGGCTTTTCTACATTAGGTTTCATTTATGTTTCACTTTAAAAAAATAACGATTTGAATTTTTTATGCAGAAATCCATAAAAAAATCTTTCCGAACTAGTTTGTAGGGAAAGTGATAAATTATATGAAGGGCTGAAAAGTCCTATATGAATAAAGGATTTTGAATTTGATATATAATGTACAATATACATAAGATACAATATTGATTCTATTTTTCCAGGTATACCGTCATATAATATATTTTTTTATTTACTTCTAATAGAGAAAAATACACTATTTAATGGTTTAAGCCGAATTACATTGCTTTACTTTCTATATTAATTGTATTTAATAAATTTGATAAATATTGATTGCTTTCAACAATCTATAAAGGCCAATTTATTTATTATATATTGTATTCATGCGCGTATGTTATATATATACACATATATTATTAAATATGTATATTTGTACTTCAAATACCTTTCTTCTACGATTTAAAAAATACAAATTACTCAAAATAGTCATTAGAATAAATTAATTCGCATACACAAAATAATATATTTTAAATGATCTGGTAATAATTTTATTATATCTCGTGGACTTGGAATCACATTGGACCTACAATCTATATTTTTAAAATTTTGTAGATCGAACTACGATATGTCGTATTATCTGCTAATAATATCTTGAGGACTTTAAAACCATTTCCACTTTCTTTCCAAGCGTATTGTGTATTCTACTCTATTTCATGCCATTCTATCTCATTTTACTCCGTTTTACTAAAGTAAAACAATTAAATACATACAAAGTATAGATTTTAACGATCGATAGAAAGCTCCACCATAAATGTCATCAATTTGAAGTAATCTGAAGTAGCAATTCCTACACAAAATTACAATATTTTAATTTTTAAGTAGTATTTTATTAGTTATTTTAATTTTTTAGTAGATATTTTTTGCTTAAAACCATCCTATTCTAACTAAAACTATCCTATTGCAGTGAAGAAAACATAAAAAAAATCATCAAGCTATTTTTGAGTGTTAAACTGACAACAATTCGTTTTTATATTCTTTGAATCATGTAGGTAATTGATATAAAAAAATAATTTACAGCAAGACGATTCCTATCTTGACTGGTCACGAAGATTTGACACGCCAGAACAGAATAATTTGTACCAAGAGGAGAGACGAGAAGATTACTACAACTCACATGAATATCAGCCTACCTGGCCATCACAACGGCCTGATAATGACATACGAACGTATGGATTGTCACAACGACCAGATGTGCGTCCCACATGGCAGCAAACCCAGCGACCACCGCAACTGTCGCAGACCTCTAATCAATATTACAATTTCGATATTTACGACCCAGTTACTAAACAACGAACGGCTGCTGATCGGAACTGCACTGCGCCAGGTTGCTGTGTTCCCAAGTGTTTCGCAGAGAAAGGCATGAAGGTAATATATAATATTATTTAATACATTTCACAGGTTATTTATATAGTACCTACATTTTACTTACTACTTGCTCTACCATATCAAACTCTCATGAACATGAACTACAGTAAAAGTGAAAATTAGCCGACGAAAGACCTTGTTAGCTAGAGCACTTTGTACAAAATATCCATCTAATGAATTTATAATCGATGTACATTAGTCGAAATTCTATATATTATAGAAATACACTGGATGTCCTGGTAATTATATTATTGTAATAATATTATAGTATACTAAGCAAAGTTTTCTTTTTTGTTTTACATGTTTGAGAATTAATACAAGTTCAAAACGTGTTCGTCATTACAAGGTATAAAATAAAGTCGCTTCCGTTGTCTGTCCCTATGTACGCTTAAATCTTTAAAACTACGCAACGGATTTTTAATAGATGGAGTGATTCTAGAGGAAGGTTATGATTTATTATGTAATAATTTTATATGTATAATACATGTACACCCGGGCGAGTAGCTAGATGAATAACATTATTCAAATATATTATAGGTTAGTGAATATGTCTTCAAGAGTTATGCCCTGGAGAGCACAGATTGTTATAAAATGGCAGAAAAATCGTTAATGTGATTGTAATAATATAAGGGGTACACAATTTTATCATTACTTTTAATAGGGTTCGTAAAGGACCAAAAGCAGTACCCAGTACTGACTATCTACAGTATCATCGTCAAAATGTCTGAGTGAGTGAATTTGGTAATTGATTTTATTTTACATAGGTTAGGAACCCAAAGAGAAAGTTTTCATTACCATTATGCAGCACATTGATACATAATCTGTAAATAATGTAGCAGTAATATCATTTATAATAATCAATAACTACAAACTGTGATGAGAAAACTGTCTAATAAAAAAATCTGTCTTATATGTATAATTGCGTAGAAAATAAAGTAGCTTACAACAATCTTAAATAGGCGTAATAATTCGCAGGGGCGACCAGGCTATCCAGGTGCCCCGGGCCCAAGAGGACTACCGGGACACGAAGGTGTAGAAGGTCCACAAGGTTTGAAAGGTCAAAAAGGACAAATGGGCCCACAAGGACCACGTGGACCCAAAGGCGACCGAGGAAAACCTGGAGAGAGAGGTTTTGTTGGATCTGCAGGGCCACCTGGTCTACAAGGTGACCAAGGAGCTCCTGGTATTCATGGCAGGGATGGCTGTAATGGTACAGATGTAAGTATGTGCACCATTATTTTTTGTATATTGACCTCAATTATTTTTTATGTATCTATGGTATGTTTTTCTTTCTAACATCGAATTCTAAATATAAATGTATATTTTTTTTATTTATTTCTTTACTGATACATTTTATAGCTACAACGGCTTAATATTTTCAGTAATTATGACTCAGTGGCTCACACCAAGGAAACTAATCACGTTTAGTTCGAACTAAACTCGATTAAGACGTTTAAACGTTTCAAAATCCACTATAAAATTATGTTTTACCTTGTTTATCGGTAAATGTTCTTGCTATATGAATGAAAACTAAAAAAAACTTATTCTAATTATATATATCACATGATTGAATTTAAAATATTTGTTAAATCATTTTAGTTAAATTACGCATTGCATCAAATATTATTATTTTGCGTGTAACACTGTGAACGAATGAAAATCTAAACTTCGTTTTGGTAAATGCTATCTAAATATATATTGCTGGTGAGCAAAGTCAATCTTAAAACTTGTTTACGCTGAACTCAGTTTCCTTGAACTAATTTATACTGCGATTGGTGAAATCCAACCTATATATAAAAGTAGTAGGTATTCGGGATAATAAAAAATACGGACCTTTTTTTATGCCAATATATGTATATAACCCAATTACGAAAACGCGAGGTGACAAGTAGGAGGACTATACTTTAATACTTCAATTTAATTTTGCAGGGTCCACCAGGTGCATTTGGCCCACCAGGATCGACTGGACCTCGTGGTTTTCCAGGACCGAAAGGTGAAAGAGGTGATAAAGGAGAGCCAGCAAATACTGGTTTTTATTCAAAGGGTCAGAAGGGAGAACCTGGAGAACCAGGAACAACTGGAAAAGAAGGTCCCATGGGTCCTGAAGGACCCAAGGGAGAACCGGGAACAAAAGGAAATATTGGTCCTAGGGCAAGTATTTCTTAATTTACCAATTTATTAAAACTATTTACAAATAACAGCAAAAAATATATATTAATATTGGAATAAAATAAAGTTATTGTAACAAATATATTAATTTTATTTATTATTTATCGAAACATATATCGCATCTGAAGAATTTCAGACCCGTAACACTGCTGAGCCATGTTTATAAGTTGTTTTCGAGAGTCATCACGAATCGTCTCGCGCGCAGGTTTGACGACTTCCAGCCTCCCGAACAAGCCGGGTTCCGAAAAGGCTTCAGTACCATAGACCACATTCATACGCTGCGGCAGGTAATTCAGAAGACCGAAGAATACAACCTGCCACTTTGCTTGGCGTTTGTGGACTATGAAAAAGCCTTTGATTCGATCGAGACGTGGGCTGTGCTACAGTCTCTCCAGCGGTGCCAAATTGACTATCGATATATCGAAGCGTTGAAATGTTTGTATGAAAACGCCACTATGTCAGTTCGCCTCCACGACCAGAATTCGAAGCCTATCCAACTGCAGCGAGGTGTCAGACAAGGCGATGTCATATCGCCAAAGCTGTTTACCGCTGCGTTGGAAGATGTCTTCAAGCTTCTGGACTGGAGCGGGCTGGGCATCAACATTAACGGCGAGTACATCAATCACCTTCGATTTGCCGACGATATCGTGGTCATGGCTGAGACCCTGGAAGACCTTAGCAAAATGCTCGAAGACCTCAGTAGAGTCTCACAAGGAGAGTAGGTCTTAAAATGAACATGGACAAGACGAAAATTATGTCAAACGTCCATGTCGTACCTGCTCCCGTAAAAATCGGAGATTCTACACTCGAAATTGTCGATCACTACGTATACTTAGGGCAAACTATCCAGCTAGGTAGATTCAATTTCTAGGCAGGTCAATCGTCGAATCCAACTCGGATGGGCAGCGTTCGGGAAGCTTCGATATATCTTTTCTTCCAAATTTCCGCAGTGTCTCAAGACGAAGGTTTACGACCAATGTGTGTTGCCAGTGATGACTTACGGAACAGAGACGTGGTCGCTAACTATGGGCCCCATCAACAAGCTCAGAGTCACTCAGAGGGCAATGGAGAGGGCTATGCTCGGAGTTTCTCTGCGTGATCGAATCAGAAATGAGGAGATCCGCAGAAGAACCAGAGTGACCGACATAGCCCGAAGAATTGCGACTTTGAAGTGGCAATGGGCAGGGCACATAGCTCGTAGGACAGATGGCCGTTGGGGCAGTAAAGTCCTCGAGTGGCGACCACGGACCGGAAGATGCAGCGTGGGAAGGCCTCCAGCAAGGTGGACCGACGATCTGGTCAAGATCGCGAGAAGGCATTGGATGCGAGCAGCGCAGGACCGATCGTCGTGGAGATCTTTGGGGGAGGCCTATGTCCAGCAGTGGACGTCTTCCGGGCTGCGATGATGATGATGATGATGATCGATACATATAAATAAAATTAGAGTGCCTGTTTGTAATATTGAAATAACCGTTTTTTAAATACGCTACTTACACCAAAAATCCACTTTTTAAAATTTTTGTCTGCCTGTCTGTCGTTCTGTTTGTTCCGGCTAATCTCTGAAATGGCTGAACCGATTTTAACGGGACTTTTTTTGACAGGTAGCTGATGTAATAGGGAGTAACTTAGGCTACTTTTATTTTAGAAAAACCCTTTTATTTTATAGAAAAATAAAGTAATGTTGTAAGTAATACCGTGCGCTCAGGCGCATGCGTCGCGCTAGGCCGTTTCGTCAGGGCCCTCTCGCTACTTCTCCCACCAACGAATCAATATCACAAAGCCTAACTGTCGCTCGGGCTCACATCGCGCGAGCGGGCTGTAGTTCATGGTTGTCTCGACGACGTTATTTAAAAATTGATATCCAGTTCTTATGTCATACTTTTGATTGATAGTGGTAGTAGTATATTTTATTATAACACCGATCCGTTCTTCTTATCTTAATTCAAAATATTTTGTTACATTTTTACTGCTTTCTTTTTTTACCTTCAAGTAATTAGGTATTATAAATTAGGTACATTTGTGTTCAATATTCAGATTTACATTGAAATTTATAAATTATTTATAGGTTATTATATTTAGTTAGTAACGTAGATCGTTGTTTATTCCTAAAATAAATATTTTTCAGTTGGATTTTTCGTTTTTTGAATGCACACTGTGCATACACACATACTTATAAGTAAAATCGGAGTGTCTATTTGTAATCCTTACTAATATTAAAAATGCGAAATTAACTCTGTCTGTCTGTCTCGCTTTCACGGAAAACTACTGAACAGATTAAATGAAATTTGGTACACAGATAGTTTAGACTCCTAGAAAGGACATGGCTACTTTTAATGCGAAAAAAGAGTAGCAAGGGCTTGAAAGGGGGAATGAAAGATTGTATGGAAGAATCGTCATTTTTGAAGCTAGACGATTGAAATTTATTTTTGGAGCTGTTAATTAACTAGATATAAATAAATATGACATTTAAAGTTTGTAAGAAAAATACCCTTAAGGGGGTAAAATAAAATAGGGAATATAAATATGAATATAAATACGATACATACACCAAAATAACATTTTTTAAATTGTTGTCTGTATGTCTGTTTGTTCCGGCTAATCTCTGAAATGGTTGGGCCGATTTAGACGGGATACTTTTGGCAGGTAGTTAATGTAATAAGTAGTAACTTAGGTTACTTTTATTTTAGAAACATTATTTTATTTTAGAAAAATAAAGTTAAGTTCCACGCGGACGAAGTCGCGGGTACAGATAGTCTATACATATAAATAAAATTGGAGTGTCTGTTTGTAATAAGGAAATAACCGTTTTCTACTACAGTAAATATGGTACATACACCAAAATAATATTTTTTACTATTTGTGTCTGTTTGTTCCGGCTAATCTCTGAAATGGCAGAACAGATTTTGACGGGAGTTTTTTTGATAGGTAACTGATACAATAAGGAGTAACTTAGGTTACTTTTAGAAAAATAAAGTTAAATTCCACGCTGACGAAGTCGCCGGTACAGCTAGTATGAAATAAATTTTAAGTTTTGATTTAGAAGATGCCTGTCAACCGGTAGAAAAGTGTAGAATGTAATTTTACAATTTAATTTTAATACCTACGTTTCATATTTTGTCTCTTTGATGTGAAGTAACATTTATCTTAAAAAGCAGAACGGAAACGCAAGAATAGAAGACGTAGTTGCGGGTAATTGGGATAATGTTTTATTTTTTTATATTTGTCTCGAATAAAAGTGTATGTAACGGATTATATTGCTTTTGTCTCAGGGTCCGCCTGGAGAGAAAGGAGACAAGGGAGCTAAAGGAATAAAAGGTAGAGCCATACAAGGCGACAAAGGTGAAAGAGGCGATAGGGGGCAAAGAGGTCCAGATTGTCCAAAAATAAATACGGACATATTTATAAACGATAATAAAACAGTCACTAGTATTCCTGGAGACAGAGGAGATAAGGGAGAAAAAGGAGACGTCGGCAAAACAGGGGAATATGGTGACACAGGAGAAAAGGGTGAGCAAGGACGCCCAGGTAAATCGGGTCAAAAAGGATCAAAAGGCATTATAGGAAATCCTGGGGACCGTGTAAGTTTTTTTATACTCATTTTTATATTATATAAGTAAGCTTTCATCGTTTCGCTACTTATAATATAATATAATATATTATAATGCACTGAAAGTATCATAACTTAGTTTGCTACCACTACTTATATCTAAAAGTTCGTTAAATCAAATCTGGATAATATTTAAAAATGAAAAAATAAACTTTTAGTGTTCATTTACCATTAAATTAATCCGAGAGGTAGGCTTGTTCCCTGCCACTATGGATTCATAATATACCTTCGAAATGTTAACATATCAAGTACGCAAGACTTGGCACAACAACATAAACATTTGATATTAAATAACTTTTTTATTTCTGTATTCTTATGCTTTATTGTAATGCATCGTGTACGAATAAAATAAGTAGTCGCTTCTTTTAGTGAGTCATAAAATAGTATGGTACTCATGCCAGTGCAAACGGTATATCCTGACGGGGCATCAGTGAACGATAGATAGGATGTACATATCGAGTCAGTCAGCGCATCTTGGCGCAATGTAATTACTAAAACACATTACTAACAATTAGTAGATAGATCCCTGTCCTTCATTCTTGGTTAAATCTCTGGAATACAGTGTATAATTATTTTCGATATCAGTGGTCTAATTGTAAGATATTATTATTATTATAGCTGTGTAAAGACTGCTACAATTCTTTATAGTATTATTTAAAATTATTGATTGAAGTTTAGGAAGATCATATAATACTTTATGAAACTGAATCCACCAGCCGACGCTGATTGATTAAGTTCACAGGGTCAATTTGTTATTTGTATGTATACTAGCAGCCGTACTGTTAAAAAAGATAACTAGACACTATAGTTTGTTTTTTAATCCCGGAGATTAAAATGACAGGTATAAATGTCAAATTTTTAAATAATGATACCACCTATAGCGGAGTAGGTACTGGTGTATATTTAATAATATATATAATATAATATAATATATTATAATGCACTGAAAGTATCATGACTTAGTTTGCTTACTTATATCTAAAAGTTCGTTAAATCAAATCTGGATAATATTTAAAAATGAAAAAATAAACGTTTAGTGTTCATTTACCATTAAATTAATCCGAGAGGTAGGCTTGTTCCGTGCCACTATGGATTCATAATATACCTTCGAAATGTTAACATATCAAGTACGCAAGACTTGGCACAACAACATAAACATTTGATATTAAATAACTTTTTTATTTCTGTATTCTTATGCTTTATTGTAATGCATCGTGTACGAATAAAATAAGTAGTCGCTTCTTTTAGTGAGTCATAAAATAGTATGGTATCATGCCAGTGCAAACGGTATATCCTGACGGGGCATCAGTGAACGATAGATAGGATGTACATATCGAGTCAGTCAGCGCATCTTGGCGCAATGTAATTACTAAAACACATTACTAACAATTAGTAGATACTATATTATTTTAAAAGAGTTTTTATTTAAAGTAGATCCCTGTCCTTCATTCTTGGTTAAATCTCTGGAATACAGTGTATAATTATTTTCGATATCAGTGGTCTAATTGTAAGATATTATTATTATTATAGCTGTGTAAAGACTGCTACAATTCTTTATAGTATTATTTAAAATTATTGATTGAAGTTTAGGAAGATCATATAATACTTTATGAAACTGAATCCACCAGCCGACGCTGATTGATTAAGTTCACAGGGTCATTTTGTTATTTGTATGTATACTAGCAGCCGTACTGTTAAAAAAGATAACTAGACACTATAGTTTGTTTTTTAATCCCGGAGATTAAAATGACAGGTATAAATGTCAAATTTTTAAATAATGATACCACCTATAGCAGAGTAGGTACTGGTGTATATTTAATATGGTTGTTGTAACAAAATGGTTTATTTGATTTTTTAATAATACCAATATTTTATTAATTTTGTATTAAATAAATACACATTATTTCTGATTAACCTATAATTAATATTAATTTCCGATAATGCCACAACTCTATTTATAAAATTCAAAAACCTGGCAACATAGGAAACGTCAAATTCCGGGATTAAAAAACTTTTAATTATAAGACTATACTTTGTAATGCTACGTAATATTATAGGGTCGGGATGGAGTGCCTGGTTTTCCGGGTCCAATGGGTCTTAAAGGAGATAGAGGTATAACTGGTCTAGCTGGATTACCTGGAAGACCAGGAAATGATGGAGAGCCCGGAAAAGATGGACCTCCAGGTCCGAGAGGAATTCAAGGAGTACCTGGTTCACCAGGAGGTGGAACAGGAACTCAAGGACCGCCTGGTCCAACTGGACCAAGAGGTTATCCAGGACCACCAGGGCCCAAAGGCAATGATGGAAGGCCAGGTGACAGGGGACCTCAAGGGCCAATGGGACAGCAAGGTGGACCAGGTATCCCTGGAAATCCAGGTACAGAAGGAATACCAGGTCGCAAAGGGGAAAAAGGAGAACCTGGCAATAATGGACAAGAAGGAGTAATGGGACCGAGAGGCCATGATGGACCTCCTGGTTCACAGGGCCCAACAGGTCCCAAAGGTGTAGACGGGCTCACTATACCTGTAAGTAATTATTTGTCGAAAAAGAAAATAAAAATATATGATCCCATGTCAATATGTAATACTTTTTTATTTTTACATCTACATATTTTATTTATCAGCAGAATAAAATAAACGTACGTAAATTTAGAATTTCTGTCTACATAGGTGTTCATACATTGGCTTTCAGCGGCTGTTAGCTCTCCCTGCGTCTGTTTTTTTTTGTGCAATTCCTAAAGCCGTCTGCTTTTCCGTAAAATACGTTAGAGAAAAATTTAGGTTAGGCATTATGCACTAAAATATTATTAATTTGTAATCAGAAATTAAAAATGCATATCATAAGTAACATTTACTTTAACAACAAGTATGCAAAGCCTATGCGGAATTGTATTTACGAATTACTGTTAAAACTACGAAAAAGCGGTTTTATGTTATCTATTGCTGCCTGCAACTTCCTGTGCATGTATATTTATAGATGTTTACATCTATTGATAATAATCAAATGACAATAATAAACACTAGACGCTATTTTATTCATAATAAATTAGTAGATAGTAGAAATGTAAATATTATTTTTATTTTACTTGTTATCATTATTATTGTTTTATTTTTGGAATCGATACATAGGTACGTTTTTGAATTTCACTTAAGAACTTAATATTTTACAGGGTGAAAAGGGTGATAGTGGAGTACCCGGTACACCAGGACAAAAAGGGCAGAAAGGAGACCGTGGCTACCCAGGCATAAGAGGTGAACCCGGAGACTCCAAACTGGGAAGACCAGGCAAGACAGGTCCTAAAGGAAATAAAGGCGATAGAGGTGATAAAGGTCAGCCCGGCCGTGATGGTATATCTGGTAGAGACGGAATTAAAGGAGATAAAGGTGGAAGTTGCAACGAATGTTGGCCAGGAAATCAGGGACCAAAAGGCGACCGTGGAGTTGATGGTTTGAAGGGTTCCTCAGGAGAACGTGGCCCGCCTGGACCGCGTGGTGTCCCTGGCGACAGAGGAGCGGATGGTGTTGATGGCATGCCAGGACCTCCGGGCCCTGCGGTATGTTGAAATAAGTATAACTATTATTAGATATAACAAATATCGCTCTTTTTTTTAAATGTACTTATAAAAATACCTACACAGGTATTGTCCATAAATAAAATTACACACTATTTATAATTTATATGTATAAGCAAAACCAATAAAATGACTGCCCAGTTGAACCGAGCACATTGAAATGCCAGGTTTTATACACTGAAATCATTAGGAATCTAACTAAACATAACTCATATTTTGCGATGCCAATATTTGTTATCAGATACCCATTGCGCCTAATCTTTATAGCTCAGAAAAGAAAATACCTTGTTATTTACTGTATACGAATTTTGAATATTAGCTTTCCATATTCTGTCAAAAATAAAAAATATAAGTGAAAGAATTACTTCAAAACGTCAATTAGTTTCTGATTTATAGAAGTAAACGTGCGATGCGGACTCGTGTGACGGTGTGACATCATAGTACAACGCTCAGTCCGCTTGCGCTCTCAGCACGGAGTCGTTTTATGTTTCATTAGAAATTATAAATACCTTCAAAAATAACCAAACCAAATACTAGGAAATAATGTGTTGCACAACATGACGAGGAAATGTACAAATACAACCACAAAAGTAATAGTTATTTTTATTATAACCACAAATAAAACCAACAAATTTGATAACAGTCGTTGAGTACTCTCTTCGACGATGTAGCCACATTAAAAATGTTATAGTACGTTTACAGCCTCTGTTGGCGGCACAATCTTCGCAAGTTACGTTTAAAACTTCTTGGTCCTTTTCATTACATTCTAAGCTGTAACGATAACGTACGCGGTGTTCGCGCGTGATTCATCATTTGACCGTACAAACATCATTTGCTCTTTTGCTATCGGTTACATACATACTTGTATGTAACCGATAATAAAATAAATATATAAATAATTTTGTAAATAGCAAGAAAAGTTAACTTACCTTTGCATTTTTATTCCTCGCATTTCGGCGGCAACGAAATCACTATTTGTTGATAAATAATGGACAACCATTAGTGCTAGATGCACTAATGGTTTTAGGCAGATCATCCGATTGCCCTTTTTCGATTCCTTCATCCATTTCATTAATAGAATATAACGTAATACACGTATGAAAACAAAACAAAATAATGCACAAACTCCTTAGCCACTGGCCTACCGCCGGCGACTCGCTACTAAGCGGAGCGGAGCATTGTAAAATGACGTCACATGTCACGTGACTGTTAGTGGGACTCGAAATTTATCGTAAGTTTAAATGCCTATAAAATCAAGACTAATAGGTATTTTTGACTAAAACAAAAACTTATATATTTGTATACATACAAGCTATACTATACCAAACTTTCAACCGATTTGGCATACCTATTAACATTCTTCACATACACCACACATAATTTTTTTTAATTGTTTTAAATACTTTTTGGTTTGTTCATTACAAACTTAAAATCAAATCTTCCCTCTTTATAACATTAGTTTAATAAAATGTTAAAACTGGCATGTATATTGGCGGTCAATTGATATATACTTAGAAAACAGGTACGTAAGTGTCATTACACCTACCTGAAATTCAGTTTTAATATGTACATGAAGCCAGACTCTTACGGAATAATTTAATATAGTCTTTACATAGTCTAGAAAGATACTTGTTTTTAATAAGTACAGTGTTCAAGAATATGATATTAGGTTTGGATTGCCTTTTAAACTCGTCAAATGGAGTTCTAAAGACCAGCTACTGACAGCTGTGATTGTAATTATATATATCTTTGATTTTCACTTATTACCGATTGATCGATTAGTAAGTAAACTCATGCGAAGTTGGGGCGGGCAGCTAACATTAAAATGTTATAATTGATTTTATTTACAATACTTTCTGCAGTTATTGTAGTTTATATTGAAATGTGCAATTTACATGTTAAAATAAAATATATACTTTTTAAATTAGTTTTTGTTATTATTAGGGCGAACGTGGTGATGAGGGCCCCATTGGACCACCTGGATCTCCTGGAAAAGATGCTATAGTTGATTTGAAATTAGTAAAAGGCGACAAAGGGGAAAAGGGTAATCAGGGACCTAAAGGTTTTCCAGGATATAAAGGCGACCAAGGGAGCAAAGGTATTAAAGGAGAACGTGGTGAAATTGGTTTACCGGGTCAAAAAGGTGAAATTGGTAGAATGGGAACACCAGGAGCGGATGGAATTCCTGGAGCTAATGGAGAGCCAGGAAGAGACGGTAATGATGGTCGTAGTATTAAGGGAGAAAAAGGTGCACCTGGAGACTATGGCCTGAAAGGAGACAAAGGATTTCCTGGGCGAATGGGTATAAAAGGCGAACCGGGACAATGTCCAGCAGATTTAAAATTGATGACAAAAGGAAATAGAGGTCCGCCAGGACCCAAAGGACCACAGGGCCCGGAAGGTAAATTATAAACAGCTACTTATATACATTAATAATAATATTAAAGTCTATACGATGCTTACGTCGTATAGACTTTTTATTCATCGTTATCATTTGTTTATCATCAAATAGATGGTGATTTGCAATTATACACTCGTATATAGTCCCTTACTATAAAAATAATCTTTATTACTTAGGTACGATACCTACACAGTTACTCAGAATAATTAATTATTAAATAATTGTTCAACGTAAAATTGACTTAAGTCATATGTATAGTTTACTAGCTGTACATGCGACTGATTTTTCTTCAATAATTTCAACCTTGTTGCTACAAATTGAAAATTTTGCTCGGTTTGATTTCTAAAATATTTATAATAATGCCTCTATCAATTACCTTAAATTTAAAGTCAACCTTAGTTTAAAAGAATTTGCTCGTTTCTCCAATTTAATGTATTTAATTACATATAAGATACATACTACATAAATAAATTCAATATAACATCAGTTTAAAAAACAATAATAATAACTCAATATTAACATTCGCTGCGGATGCTCACATAAAAAGCTTATGTAACGTTAATTGGTGTTAATATTGTAAGTAAGTAGGTACTTACTAAATTATTGCGTTTTGAATTATGAGAAGTACCTATTACGAATAATTGATAAGATCCATTACCCGCTACACATATGTATATATAATATTAAACATGAGTGTATATTTTTTATTTTATAAATGTAAGAATATTATGCGATGCAAATTTTTGTGATACAAAAAAAATATATAATATTTTGCTTAATTTTAACTTACTGCGTTGAAAAAAATTAAAATTATGAATCATTAAAAAAAAGTATTTTTGCCAAGTCAACATGTATGTCCATTTCAGGTGTTCCCATTCCGGAAAACTTCCATTTGCTTTATATCGGTATCAATTATAAAAATATTTGGTAGGTAAAGTTTATTAAAGGAATTTATTTACAGGTGTATCTGGGGATAAAGGCGATAACGGAGAACTTGGTCGTCCTGGCGAAAAAGGTGCACCCGGTGCAACTGGTAGAGATGGTCCTGTCGGCCCACGAGGTCTTCCTGGTCCAAGAGGCGAAAAAGGTGACGGAGGGCCGATAGGTTTTCCAGGTACACCTGGTACGAATGGTCCCAGAGGATTTCCAGGATTAATAGGTATAAACGGTGACAAAGGCGAAACAGGGCCATCAGTGGTTGGTCCTATAGGACAGCCTGGTAGACCTGGACCAAAAGGCGATAAAGGATTAAGAGGAAATCCTGGTCAACCTGGTAAAGATGGACAGCCAGGGTCACAAGGTTGGCCAGGTGAAAAAGGAAATGCTGGATCATACGGACCTTCTGGACCTCCCGGTTGGCAAGGACAGAAAGGTGAACCTGGTCCTATAGGAAACATTGGACCAAAGGGAATTGATGGTATTCCCGGGAAACCAGGAAGCAAAGGAATTAGAGGCTTGCCAGGAATACCAGGAAAGCCTGGTGTAATTGGTTGGCCAGGTGCCAAGGGAGACCGTGGATTAACAGGTCAAGAGGGTGAAAAAGGTTTTCCAGGTGCACGAGGTAGACCTGGTCCTCGTGGAACCCCAGGTGTAAATGGAGCTCCAGGTTTAAAGGGAGATAAAGGCCCGTTAGGTTATAAAGGCGATAAAGGATTTCCAGGAACACCAGGTCAACAAGGATTACCAGGAGCTCCTGGCTTACCAGGTGACAAAGGCTCCGATGGTGCTACAGGAGTTCCCGGACTTCCTGGACTCGCTGGTCTTAAAGGAGACAGAGGTCTACCGGGATATCCAGGACCCAAAGGAGAACCAGGCTTAGCATCAGATAGAGGTGAAAAAGGAGAACCCGGTTTTCCTGGACGTCAAGGTATGCCAGGCATTCCTGGTCAAAATGGAGTAAAGGGAGACAAAGGAGAAACTGGTCTAACTATAACAGGACCTCCTGGTTATACTGGAGAAAAAGGTGAAATTGGAAGTCCTGGACTGTATGGAGCTCCTGGAGAAAGTGGTGAAAAAGGTGAGGTTGGGTTGAATGGATACAAAGGAGCAAAGGGAGATAGAGGTCTGCCAGGTGAACGCGGACCTCCAGGTCCACCTGGCATGGACGGTGAACCAGGTGCTCAAGGTGAACGGGGCTTTAATGGTATAGAAGGAGCCAAAGGTGATAAAGGAGATCGAGGTCAACCAGGAAGAGATGGTTTAGATGGACTCAAAGGAGACCGTGGATCAATCGGTGTAATAGGTCCAAAGGGGTCACCCGGCTATCTTGGTCCAAAAGGAGATCGGGGTCCTCCAGGGCTTAAGATCGACATAAAAGGAGATAAAGGCGATATTGGACCTCCCGGTCCACGTGGGGATAAAGGTCCAAAAGGAGAAAGAGGCCTCGACGGAGCCCAAGGTTTAAGAGGTGATAAAGGTGATCAAGGTTATACAGGACAAAAAGGAGAGAAGGGCTTTATTGGTTACAGCGGATTAAAGGGTACGTACAAAAAATATTTAATGTCGTAGTCAATAACATATATTATTCTTACCATAACATTTGGTCAGTTAAAGCAGTAATATTTTTATACCCTTAAGCGTTTAACGTTTCGACTTAACGAATGACGAAAACATAGTTCATGAAACTTTTATCATATGACAAGTAACCCTTTTCGGTGTAAATTTGTATTTAGGCGCATAATTAATTTCTCAACACATACTTTTGACAAGTACGGACAGTTTAGATGAAAAAATAAAACTATTGTTTTTACAATTTTTTTAGCCAATTCTCGTATGACCTCACCTTTTATGCTTTCTTGTCTTTTTTAATATTACAAAATCAAAAATAACGAACAGGTTCAGGTCTAATGAGACTGAAAGACATTATATATAAATACAGGGTAGGTCGTAGAGGGTATGTTAAATCACAAATAAAAGTCTGATAATATGATTTTGAACTTATTTACTATGTTAATCACATAAATTTAGAAATAATTTATATAATTGTTTAGAACCATACTCCATAAATGTCCAACTTCATACAAATTATTGATTTATTTATTTTTTAATATTCATGTTTGTATTATTATAATGAAATCGGATTTGTTCAATGGTAAATAATACATCCAGAATATATTAAAGCAACATGTAGTACGTTAATTCAATTTTTACGTTATTTCAAATTAAGGTACAATTACAATACAACTATTTTTATCTACTCTTGTTCATAAAAGTGAAACGTGCCTTATAAACTGTATTTCCTTCTTATATTTTAGGGGATCTCGGTCCAAGGGGCCCCCAAGGTAAACCTGGAAAAGATTGTCCATGTGAAAAGGGAATACCAGGTTTACAAGGAAAAAATGGTCGGCCTGGTATACAAGGAGCGCGTGGTGAGAAAGGCGAACAAGGTTTAACAGGCCTTCCAGGACAAATAGGAGAACCGGGTTTACCAGGTTTACCAGGTCGCGATGGGGAAAGAGGCGAAAAAGGAAATGAAGGTGTAGCCGGGCCACCAGGAAATGAAGGTCGACCTGGCAATGATGGGTTACCAGGGGAATCTGGTCATAAAGGTGACAAAGGAGATAGAGGTGCACCTGGATTTGGACTACCTGGCGAAAAAGGTGATAAAGGCCAAATAGGTTGGATTGGTGAAAAGGGAGAGAGAGGCAGTAAAGGTGAGCGTGGTCAACCTGGAAGTCCTGGAGAACAGGGGCCTGAAGGTATTCAAGGAGAGAAAGGTGATCGAGGTATAGTTGGAAAACCGGGTTATCCTGGTGCACCAGGTGAAAAGGGTGACAAAGGCGAAAGATCTCCAATAGTTTATGGGACAAAAGGACAAAAAGGAAATCCAGGCCCTCCAGGGCCTGAAGGCCCGCCCGGACCCATATGTATGGACGGACGTCCAGGTTTAGATGGTTATCCTGGTGAAAAAGGTGAACAAGGCATGTCTGGACCAAAGGGCCCTCCAGGTCCGCCCGGACCACAAGGTCGGCAGGGATTACAAGGTGAAAGGGGTGAGATTGGACAAACCGGTTTGCAAGGATTGCCTGGACTTCCAGGAGCCCCTTGCACTAAAACGGATTATTTGACAGGAACACTTTTGGTACGACACAGTCAATCTGTCCAAATACCCACTTGTGAGGCAGGTCAGGTAAAATTATGGGAAGGATACTCGTTGCTTTATATCGATGGCAATGAACAAGCTCATAATCAAGATTTAGGAACTGCTGGGTCATGTATCCAAAAGTTCAGTACAATGCCTTTCCTGTTTTGTGATCTAAATACAGTATGTCATTATTCCAGTCGAAATGATCGAAGCTACTGGTTATCTACTAGCGAAGCATTACCGATGATGCCGGTTGAAGGCAATGACATTATAAGACACATTTCAAGATGCGTAGTTTGTGAGGTTCCAGCTAATGTGATAGCTGTACACAGTCAAACACAGGACGTTCCTGAATGCCCTGCTGGTTGGAGCGATGTATGGATAGGCTACAGTTTTGCTATGGTGAATATTAAAATATATGTACCTAATATTAACTACTATTAACCACATCGGTTTCGCAAGTGATTGCAATTTTCCTAAATTATAAATTAAAAGACGGCAAATGAGCGAGAGCTTTCTGTACATAAAATAATTTTTATAATAACAAACATTACAGAATATCCGGTTCTGGTGATCCGATTTCAAAATTAGTTTCACTGTTAGAAGTGGAGCAGCAATGAAAAATTTGGCAAAAAATATTCATTTTGAGTGCTTTTGCTGCGTGCGTAAACAGTCATAGTTACGCAAAAATGTATGACGAAATTGTTCTTCATTAAAAATTCCAAAAAAAGTCCGCAACAAATAAAATAAAATAACCTTTTTATGATAATCAAATTTCTTCTAAAATAATGAATTTTTTGCAAAAGTGTTTTTTTAAACGTGATATCAATCCTTATCTAAATGAATACGTTACATAAGTGTTTAATTTTGAATAAAATTGCCCTTTACGTAATTTGATTTCAACGAACACTTTAAGATATACATATCTTAGTATTAATAAAAGAAAACCTCACTAACTGACTGACATGTCAACTCAGTTTAAATACTTCTTATAAAAGCTCAAGCTCAAGCTCAAGCTTAAATCAAAATGGAATATTGGATCCGTGTGAAGCCGAGGCCAGTTACTAGTCTCATAATAAATAGAAATGTCCTGTGACTATATATAGCTGTAGCTGTGACTATTCACAGCTCACCTATTTTACCCGACAAGTAGTTTACATAATGAGCTGTATTTCTGTTGAAGCTGAGATAAGGTAGTGAAATTACAGGACGTGAAGTCAACGCACGAAAGTCCTCACATAATAAGGAGATATCCCGAATGCGGATTGTGTCCATATAGAGGCGACGTTTACAATTATATGGGCCGTCAGTTTATATACAATTCCAGTATTATTTAAAATAAGTACCTAAGTAGTATTTAATATATGTATAAGAGTATTTAAAATAAACATAAGCGTTAATAGGTATCTATAGAAGAGAAACATCTGTTACCTATAAATATTAAACCATAAATACAAATTTCAGCATACCGGAGCTGGTGGCCAGGGGGGAGGACAAGCTCTTGCAAGCCCAGGTTCTTGCTTGCAAGATTTCCGAACATCGCCTTTCATAGAGTGTAATGGAGAAGGTGGTACATGTTACCATTTTGCGAATAAGTTAAGCTTTTGGTTAACGACTATAGAAGACAGAGACCAATTCACAAGTCCTCAGCGATCAACATTGAAGTCAGGAGAAGTCACGACGCGTGTGTCTCGATGTGCTGTCTGCATTAAAAATACATAGTGAATCTTATCTTATGCGCTTCATTTTTTTATACATATTTATAGGTGTGATGTTTATACAAGACTCTTCAAAGACATAGCTACCTATTGTGGATTTTACATGACCAATAGTGATGTTGCTACCAAATATTAAGTTACAGTGATACCTAGTTGTCAATGTGAAAATTAAAATAATTAATTTAATTTTTTCTTAATTAGTATACTTTGATTCAACTAATGCCAACTTCGTTCAGTAGGTAAGACATCTTAGAATTAGCTGTTCCAGTTCTTCTAACATTCTAAACTATTAAAGATCTGTAAGTTTAAATAGTCTCTGATCATATTACATACAATACACCAAAGCCATAAATTTAAGTTTTATATTTTAAGTAGGTATCTATAGTTATTTATATATTATTTTTATTTTAGTAGTATATGCAGTAAATGTGATTGTCTTGTTGGTCAGATTTCGTATAAGTAGTAATACTTACATCATGTTATTGTAAATCTTTTATTCTCCTAGTCAGTGTTATTTCGGATTACGTAATCCATTAAACAAGATTGTAATAAGACATTTTTATAATCATCTGATACTGTTCCAAATTATCTACTGTATTAAATTATATAACTGGGTTCAAGTAATATATTTCTCAAAATATTGTAAACTGTTCACAACAATAGGGTAGTGAAAGATAGGTGATGAAACACTGCCATTGTAGATAGATTAATATTGCAAATAAATAAATTAGAATAAATTTTTAATAAATAACTTGCGTGTAATTATTTTGGTGTACGACTGAGAGGGAACACAAATAATATGTATGCTGTTAACTATAGCTGGCCTTCAAAGCCAACAGAGTATAGTGCATCAATGGAATGTCAAGGCGGAAGCATAGAGCACTCCGAACCAGCGGAACAACTTGTAGAGAGTCTGTCACAAAAACGTTGATTACCAATGTTTCTGGCTGCTCGGTTCTGAATGTGATCAAATGGAAGTAATTGGTATTGTGGTGCTTACGCCCAGAGATGAGAACAGCATTGCATATGCGGCTCGATCTGTGCCTTGTATAATTGCAAGCGATGGGCCGCAGTAAAATACTGTCTCACTCTACTGAGCACGCCACGGCCTAACTTTTAGAGGCTATTTTAACCTTGGCCTTCAAATGACCGCAAAATTGAACGTCACTGGATATATCGACATCAAGGATCTCGAGATTTGACTTCATATCAAAGAGACCGTTTTGAAACTGAGAAGTCACTATAAATTGAGGTTTTATACATTTTTAGGAAGATTAACTTTTTTTTTACATGTTAATGATCATATTGAATTGTCCTATGCCAATTAATAATCTACACCAATATTACCACAGGTAAGAGCATATTACATACAGATACAGAGAAATAATAATAATAATAATCTTTATTTGTCTCAAACAAAAACTTTTCACGTAATACAACTGTTGCCCATACAATAATATAATTTAAAACTAATGAATGAGACAAAACGGTTTATAACTCAGTGAGGGCAGTGAGTCCACCCTCTTTGCTATTCTGTTATAGCCTTTATCAGTAAAATAATACAATATGAGATCGACGACGACGATAGCATATTAAGTTAAATTCTAAACTACAACTAACAAAGTAAACATAAATATTGACAATGACAAGATTACAAACTAATGAGATTGGACAATAACAAACTTAAATATGTATAATCTAAACATTATTCAGGATTAGTTACAACATTAAATAAAAACTAAGAATTATTCAGGATTATTTTATCATATATACCTACCATCAGATGCAGACTTGCGCGTACATACACACATCGACACAACTTAGTAGATTACAGTACTACGAAATGAGGGATTGTTCTTGCAGCAACCATTTGCTACATTTGCGCCTAAATATTGGTAAGGATAAAATCAGTGATGAACGAATTGGCGGGGGCAAGTCGTTCCAAATTTTTGCTGTTCCTTCCTAATTCGGGCTATTCTTCGGTTTATTTTATTACGCCGGCGTAGGCGCTAGATGTCGCTAGATTTGAAGCAGTTAGGATTACTAGTGCTTAGTAATAAACCATGAAAATAGATGGCAGGCAATATAGTCTACATGACAGCTATGGTTTGTAGAGATAAGTACATAAATATGTAAGAGTGCTGTATACCCGATTTTTTTTTATGGATGATAATGGAATGGTTTACCCGGCTGCGCTAACGGTTTACGCTGGCGGGGCACCAATGGAGGATGATAAGATGAGCTTGAGGTCAGGTCAGTTAGCCCATCGTGACAAATTCACCAGGAATCACGATGGTTTCCAGGGGGAACCGCGTGGAGGTCAACCTGACATGGTACATTGCTAGCAATGAGGTTATCAATCTACATTACTAACAATCCCTTTCCCCCCTGTATACCCGATTAGGTACAATTGAAAATTGAATGTAGGTGTGTAGGTATACAATGTCGTAAAACTTAAATTTCATTAATATCTCAATAACAGGCTTTAAATAACGGTCAAATGCTTTAACTGCTATTTTACATAATTCATACTGAAAAATATAAAAAAAATGTTTTGGAGTTTATTTAAAAAGTATTAACACAAAATTAATGAAATAAAACGTATAGGTACTTATTTATGATCTGAAATAAAAGTTGTAAATAGTTGGTTAGCAGTTTAATACTTGTTATAATGATAAATACTGTTATTATAGTTTAATACTTTTATTGTAGCAGAAGACATGACATTGTACAAGCAAGACATTTTCTATTAATCTCTGTTCAGTGTTGCCATACTAATCTATATAATTCTAACACTTGTTACATCCCCCTTCCTTCACAATAATGAACTTAATAAACATGATCTTTTAAATAACTTGGAGGTTTTACTATTCTACCTGACCTAGTGGTAAAGTAATGATTTTCATTATTGTGACTTTCAGTTTGAACTTGTAACTCAATATTATTATCTTTAATTACAGTTTGCTCTTTATCATCACAATCTTTACTTTGACCACTATCACAATCTACATCTATTTTCCTTTCTTTTTTAATAATAAGCTTAGACTGATCTTTACAATTATGCAAATACTTTCTATTTCTATCTAGCATTTGTCCATTTTCACACATTACTTTATATGAATTAGGTCTATAATCTTTTCTAATTATTTCAGCATATGTAAAAGGCTTTTTATCACATTCTAATATAACTTTTTGCCCAATGTTCAATTCTGGTAACTTTTTAGTGTTTTTATCAAAATATTTTTTCTGTCTAAAACTGTTTTTGTACAATTTAGTCTGTATTCTTATATTATCATTACTTGGACATGAATATTGTGGTAATAAACCTTGAACATTTCTATTCATTAACAATTCAGAAGGAGTTTTATTCTCCATTTCTACTTTAGGAGTATTTCTGTACTCTAATAATGCTAAATACTTGTCTTTCTTTTCATAATCAGCTTTTTTAAACAAATTTTTAACCGTTTGCACATATCTCTCAGCAAGACCATTTGACTGAGGAAATGTAGGACTACTAGTTCTGTGAGTAAAATTCCAATTTTTTGTAAATTCTCTAAACTTTTGATTACAAAAATTTGTACCATTATCCGAATATAAAATATCAGGAATACCAAATCTAGCAAATACTGATTTAAATGCAGCAATTGTTACTTCTGCAGATAAATTACTTAAACTTATAATTTCAAAGTATTTACTGTAATGATCTACAATAATTAGAAATGGCTTTCCTTATAATAAAAAACATCACTTCCTAAAACTGACCATGGCTTATGAGGCATGTCTCTTATGGTCATAGGTTCTTTACTATTACGTTTTTTAAATCTACAACATGTATTACAATTCTGTACCTTATTTTCTATCTCTTTATTCATATGAGGCCAAAATATACATGATCTAGCTCTAGCCTTGCATTTTTCAATACCTAAATGATTGTAGTGTAACTGTTCAAGCATATTTTGTCTCATTGACATTGGTATTACTACACAGTTATTTTTAAATATTAAATCATCATATACAAAAAGTTCTTCTTTGAATGTACAATAATCTCTCAAACTGTCTGGTACTTTCTCTATATTATCTGGCCATCCTTCTATAATATATTTTTTTAATAAATTAAATTCCTTGTCATTTTCTGTTTCTTTCTTAATTTCTTCTAATCTACAAGATTTAACTGGAATATTTTCTATAATCATACCTACCTGTGCCTCTATTTCTTTTTCCTTAATATCATCATTACTTTTAATATAATTCCTAGATAATGCATCTGCAATTAATAACTCTTTTCCAGGCCTATACTTAACATCTATATCATACTTTTGTAAATGCAATCTCATTCTCTGTAACCTAAGTGGAACATCACATAACGATTTTTTAAAAATAGTCTCTAAGGGTCTATGATCACTCTCTACTTGTACTCTTTTCCCATAGATATACTGATGGAAACGTGTGCATCCAAAGACAATTGCTAACATTTCTTTTTCTATTTGTGCATATACTTTTTGTGTCTCGGTCATTGCCTTTGAAGCATAAGCAACAGGAAGATTATTTTGCAACAATACTGCACCTAATGCATCTTTAGACGCATCAACTGATATCTTACAGGACTTCTCCGGATCAAAATATTGTAAAACTGGTGCTGATATTAATATTTCCTTTAAAGTTTTAAATGCTAATTCCTGTTCCTTACCCCATCTCCACTCTGAATCTTTTTTAATGAGTTTTCTTAAAGGTTCACATGTTTGTGACAAGTTAGGTATAAACTTTGCTACATATGTTATCATTCCTAATACAGTTTGTACCTCTTTTACATTTTTAGGTTTATCTAAACAGATTATAGCATTAATTTTCTGAGGATCAGGTTTAATCCCATCCTTTGACAATATATGACCAAGATAATTTATTTCTTTTACTCCAAATTGACATTTATTTAAATTTAATATTACACCATTTTCTTTCGCAGTATACAGTACCTTATTTAAGATAAAATCATGTTCCTCTTTATTCTTAGCATACATAACTATATCATCTATAAATACTTCACAACCTTGAATATTTTCAAACAATTCTTTGAAGTGCCTATGAAAAATTTCTGGAGCAGAACTTATGCCATATGGAAGTCTCTTAAAATAATATCTTCCAAAAGGAGTATTAAATACACACAACTTAGAACTAGCTTCTGATAGCTTAATCTGAAAAAATGCTGCTGTTGCATCTATTTTGCTGAATATAGACGCTCCCGTCATTTTAGAGGACACCTCTTCAAATGTGGGTAACTTAAAATGTTCCCTTTTTATACAATTATTTAAATTGCCTGGGTCCATACATATTCTTAACTTACCATCTGGCTTTTTAACAATAACTACATTACTGACATAATCTGTGGGTTCTGTAACTTTATCTATGATACCCATCTGTACCATTCTATCTAATTCAATCTTTAATGGCTTATGTAATGCAATTGGTACCCCTCTACAGGGTTCAACTTTACCCTGCGCACCTTCTTTTAGCTTAATATCATATTCTATTCCTTTAATACATCCTATTTTATTTGTATCAAATATCTGTATATACTTATTAATTATATCATGACACTGCATATTTTTATTACATATTACTTGCCTCAGATATTTACGTTCAAACAGTTTTAAATGTTCCATAGTATTCCAACCTAATATTGGTGTACAATTTGCTTTTACTACTTGAAATTTCAAATTAACTTGCCTATTATTGATCAGTTTACATCTCAAGTCT